CCCTCTCCATGAGAACAGAAAACCCAGAGATGCAGAGTTTCTATCAGAACATGGAACATTCTTAACAAACATCACTTGATGTCTCTTATTTTTAATGGGCTGAATAGAGGCAGAGCCAATGGATACTCAACAGGAATGATTTGCCTAGGAACAAGCAATCCAAGTTTGGTTCATTGAAAGAATAAAAGAAATGTAAAACCAGTGTGGGAAAGCTGAAGAGACTATAGGAGAAAAAAGTCTACCATTTCTAAAGAGAAACTTATTACGAGGTTTTATAATAAGAGGCTGAAAAAAGGCAAGACCTTATCTATGCATGCTAATGAGAAGCTAGAGATATCAAGCCAGCTAGAAGTTCAAGGAAGGGCTCTACCAGAAGCAGCCTTATTGGATTAATATTAAACAGACTCCCATAATGTTTTGAAATTGTTGTAAATGCTCTAAAAATAAAGGAAGATGCAATTTATGATAAACTGTTTAGAAGATTTTAGTATACCCAGAGGTGCTGAGAAGAAGCTAGAAAAGAATGGAGGAAACTACAATCAAGCAGAGATATAGAAGATATTACAACTGTATCAGTCCCAAACATATGAAAATTGAATGCCTTTAGAGAAAAGGGGCTGGTAGCCAAGGTGGGAAGAAATAAATAAGCCACAATCCCAGAGGGGATGACTCATCAAGGGACAACAGAAGGAAAACTGGCAAGTAGAAACGCTTAACAAGTTGGAGGTGATTTTTGGAACCAACTCTGAAAAGCATTATGAGAGGATCTGCACTTACTTTGGTGTGACCAATACTTTAATTAAAGAAAGGGGAGATTCACTGAACTGGACATGGATTGCAAAACTCTCATTCACCTAGCAGATGGAAGACAAGTCTTTCCTGAAAATGAATGAATTGCAAGACTATATTACAAACTGAAAATAAGGGAAACAATTAATCTGATTATTAAAGGAACATTTATGCTCCTGCTCTAGACACTAGTGTCATGATAATGAAATTTGTCACTGGAAGATGCTATGAAGTAAAATTTAAGGGACATTATTTTCTCATGACAATGGAGAAAATTTATGAAAAGGGATTCTGAATTTGTAATGGACTGTGTGAATGCAAAGGTTAAAACCACAAAACCAAACCAACATAAGACATGTTTGAATTTGTGGCGTAGAAGATTAAATCATAGAAATTCAAGTTGAGAGTACAATAACTTTGAAAAAGAGAATTTAGTAAGAGGCCTGAAGACAGATTCATGCAATATAAAATATAAATATATATGCTGTGTAAAGGCAAGAGGAACCAGACTCTTTATTCTTCGATGTAAAATGAAGATGAAATGATTCATGATACTATCTATAGACCCATAAGAACTAAAACTCTTGGAGGGGACTGAATGTTCCGATGACTTTTGTAGATATACATTCACTTCTTTGATCAGTGATAAAGGTAAAATGCTTGTTAAAGGCTATGTTGTAATGTCATGTATTAAGGTCATGACAAAACCTCAGATTCTGCATTCAGACAGTGGAGGTGAGTACAGAATGAATAATATGGTAAGATGCTTGAGGGAAGAGGGCTTTGAGCTGTAGACAACAATACCATGTACCTCCAAGCAGAATGATAGAGAGGGAGATTGTTCTGCAGATAGATGACAAGGTATATGCTTATGGATGCAGAATGATCAAGAAAGTTCTGGGCAGAACAGTCAGGACTGCCATCTCCCTGCAGAACTAATCGCTATCCAAGGTCACATGAATAACACCCTAAGAATTATGGTGCAGAAAGAAGTCCAGCAGGAGCTCTCTCAGAAAGGTTGAATCCAAGCAATGTAGGAACTGAACCTGAAGGGAAGAGCTCATTCAGGCACAACAGATTCTTTTACCTAGCTAGAAACCTCCAGGTGACCAAATAAGAAAGAATCTAGCCAAGTTTGCCAATGGAGAGATGCTACAAAGGAAGAGATTGAAGAATTATGTATGGACACTAACAGAATAGTCTCCATGAAGAAAAACGGTAGGTTTTTCAGCATGATGCAGAAGAGGACATTCAGTGATACAAAGCCAGACCATATGTCAATAGTTATCCTCCAAAATGTAGTGACTATCATAATAAGATATTTGCTCCACTTGTGGAACGCACTTCTTAGTTGCAAGGCTCTTTCTGGGCTATCTTCATCAGATAAAACTCTAGCTAAAGTTTCTGTTGCCAATGCATGTGGAGCGTAGGGAGGAAGAAAGCAATTACGTTGCTTGGGAAGCAGCCAGGACGTTCAACGATCACTGCTACGGTGACAGAGGATGCCAAAGGATTGATAACGATCATGCGCAACTTGGGTCTCAGCTTTATGTCTTGCTGGAAAAAGAGTAATTAATTTCAAACACTGCAACTTCATGCTGATTGTGGCTAACTGCCAGAAATCCTTCTGTGGAGCTAACGGAACGAGCCCTCCCTTCTTTAGTGCAAATGTAAACACTGATCTGATCTTTTGAGAAGACTGCCTATGAATAAGTTGGATGCAATTCAGGACACAGATATGATTTATTTCGTTTATGGCCAGCTTACCCTTTTCTAGGGCTGCCTCCGGACCAGGAGGAGGATTAGCCCACTTCTCTCCTCCCTCCACTGTCTCCTTCTTTTCTTCCTGATTCATTGTTTGCTGATGCCAGAGGAACATCTTACCTTATTCCTAACCTGGGCAATTGCCACTGTGCACTTTTTTGAAATGTAGCTGTTTCCCTCAGCCTGCTGCACGTTTTTGGGAACACAGCCAATGCCAGAAATGGATAGAACTGCATGCATATTCCTGTGCACAATTCTCTTTTGTCAGTGTGCTGTGCTGGCCTTCTCTCTACTTCTCCCCAGTTCGTTTTCTTCCTCCGGAGACTAGTTTGTCTTGGCAAGCAATCCACATACCCCCAGCGGGGTCTGATTATGCCTTTCCTAGTTGGTTCTTTAGTTCCATCTTTCCTTGTCATGGCAGATTAACATCCCTTAGGGTCAGATTCAGCCTGGCTATGATGTGTTTCCTGACTTCACTGCACCCCTTAGCCATAAGATGCATTTTGTTTTCTGCCTGATGCTTCTGTAGTAACATGATTCTTCTGGCTTGTCCCTTGAGTTTCCTTGTTCTAAGTACCCTTCACCCATGAGGAAACCACTTAGGTATTACTCTAGCTTTTGCTGTCATTCACCACTTAAGCAATAAAGGAAGGAGCTCAAGAACTCAGTATGGGAGTATCTGGAGGGAGGAGGTCAAAAAAGTCAAGACGGTGATCACCACTACACAAGCAAAGCCTGTCTGTTTTTATGTGTGCTGTGGATGCAACACACTTAAAAAGATGCATGGCTTTGCCTGTGTGAGGTGGCTGCCATCTTGATTTTTATGACATCCCTTAACTCAACACTTCCTTCAAATGCTCTGCCACAATTGGCATGTTAGCCCAGGATCAAGAGGAAGGAAAGAAAATCTTTTTGACACTCCTTTATCCTGTCTGTGTTGTGTCCTTCCTTTCTTAAAAAATATCTCCACAAGATCTGTGCAGTTGGCTCAACTCAGAGAGGGATTAAACCAACACTATTTTGGTTTATTTTATGGAAGACTAAGATTCTGAGCAAGAGTTCTTCAGTTAGGAGTTCCAAGATGGCCTCACAGGACCTCTTTTCATGTTTGATATTTTATTTTCCAACTGAGGACAAGCAATATCATTTAGCGAGGCTGCAATTAACTACCCCAACTGGTATGTGGTCAGTTCATGTGGCAAAAATGACAATGACACTTTGGCTGGGGCTTGCACATTTAGCCATTCTCCAGTGGGTTCTTACCTCTCTCAGCATTTCTCTTGGGAAGAAAAAATAAGGGATTGAGGAGATGGCCACCATGCTAGCTGCAAAAATGAAACCAAGCCACCAGGCACCAACCCATCGTGGATCCTTGTTAGTGATATGAATTTCCACTGAAATATAACCGAAGGAGAGAGAAACTAAGCCAAACAAAATCAGTGATTAAACTGTGCTAGAACTGAGCTGGAAATCAGAAGGGCTACCTCTGTTTCCCAGTTGTTTTGATAACTGGGGCAGAACTCATGATTTCCCCAGTCCTTTTTAATAAGAGGGCATCCAGATGAGTTGGACTACAACCCCAATTATCCCCACCTGCATGGCCATCAGGAGGATGCCATGTTGGGAACACTGACCTACAGTATCTCTTGCTAGGAATCAGGGGTGTCTGCAGGGAGGGGTCAATAAAGTCAAGATGGTGGCCATAACCATGCAATGGAAGCCTCCTTTTTTATGTACATTGTGGCTTTGATTATATGGCTGTAGCTGCCATCTTGACATTTTTGCCCCCCTGGACACCCCTGCTAGGAAAGTACAAACAATAACAAGTTGTTAATGCCTACACCCAACTATCCACAGTGTAGTTCTCTCCCAGTGTCTTGGATCTCACTTCCCATCATCCCTATTTAGTTATTATAAAACTGTACATATCCATCACAGAACTCTTGGCGGTTCACTCATAATGAAACATACAGTAAAAGCAACACAATTAATCCAGTTAAAATGCCACTAAGAAGTTCTAGTTAAAACAAAACCACAAACAGTGAGGACCAAACCAGTGAAACAAGTTATTAGAAACCAAGTAAAAGGGAATTCCTCCAAGCATTGCTTAAATTCCAAATATCCAACAAAACAAAAATGCTTTGCTACCTTTCTGCAGCTCACCAGGTAGAGGCCAATTGTACCTCAGGGTAAATGATTCCATCATTGTGGACAGCCACAGAAATTGCCTGCCCCTGAGCTCCCATTTCTCACAGGATGAGGACCCAAACCGCGAGAATGTGCCTGAGGGACAGGTATGTTCTGCAGCAGATGGCACTGAGGGTCAGTGGGAGCCAAGCATTTAGGACTTTAAAGGAAAAAATAAAACAATTCTTAACAGTTTCTTGAAAGTGAATTCCAAAACCTATTGGCAACCTGGGAAGCACCTGCAAAATAGGTGCTGAAGCATCTCCCACTAGCCAGTGAGTGGCAGATGTGTTCTCTAACAACTGAAGTCTCTGGGTCATCTTCAAGGGCAGCCCAAAGTACAGTATCCTGCAATAGTCGAGCTTAGAGATGGTAACTAGACTTAGAATTTCCCCACTTGAAGGAGGCCCACAACTGATGTACTAGCTGAAGCTGGGCAAAGCCTAGCCTGGCCATGGCCTCCCTCTGCTGATCCAGCAGGAGCTGTGAGTCCAGGAGAACCACCAGAAGGACCTTCTCCTTCACAGGAAGTGCAGCCCCTTCCATTGTCTACTCAGGAGCATACAAACATACATGTCTTTTAACAGATTACATGCTATCCACTATCTTTCTACCATGATTTGCACATTTTAACATTTTTCCATCCAATTTCTCATCTTCAGGGAACATTCTACAAAGGTACAACAAATTCATCTACTTAGTCTAGTTTTGCACCCTTTTTGCAAGTATAACTTGCAAACGTTCGCTCCATTTTCACCCTGCCAAGCACAGCTACAATACTTTATTACCCTGGTCTTTGATACATTAATTTCCAGACACGTTTCCTTTCCTTTAACTCCTGCTCTTTACCATTTGTTCTACTTCCGTCCCAAGTCTCAGTCTTCCAGGTCAGATTAGATGGATCCCATCGTGCCCTTGATTCATCATGGCTTTCACGTAATGCTTTTTAGTAAGATCGTGGATGCGTAGACTAGCTTGCCACTTTAATTGCACCAGTGCCACATGGTAAGGTCAGTACCAGTCACCCTTGAGGCTTTGGGGTCAGATGTGCCAAATGCAACTAAAGCCCAGTTTTATCCCAAGTGCATGCCAGGTATGCAAGCTACAACATCTAATGTGGAACCCCCTTGCAAGCCAACAACTGTTGCCTACTGTATGTCCCACTGACTGAGAGATCAATGCAACATAATGCCACACAATCAGGCTGCTTGTCTCTCTCTGCCAAAGCCCGGTTCCTCTGAATCCAGTTTTGGCCCTTGCAGTTTCACAGTTCTGTTTTCTTGTCTATCTCTGTACCTTTCTTTCTATGAATCCTCAACCCTAAGTGGCCTAGGAGAGACAAAGGAAATTCTTCAACACTGGTACGTGCTTTCTCTGTGTCCACCAGTAACGTGATCATCATCATCATCATCATCATCATCATCATCATCATCATCATCATCGGTTATAGATATATGGGATTTATTTTCTCAGAAATACACTCACATAGAAGGTTTGTTAACTCACTTGCAGAAACTTTGTCAATGTCGACATAAAAACGTAGCATAATCGATCCCAAGATGAATGCTATGGCGGGACCAAGTGCAGTTGCAGCAAAAAGAAATCCTGTGCACAAGAGAAAAACAGGATTTCTGTTCTTAGTGGGAAGACCACTAAGTGTAATCCAAGAACTGCCTCTGTGAAATGGGAACAATGATTCACTCAACAGCCCCTTTCCAGAAGGCTTCCATTCATTATTAATGGTTTTGGTGAATTGGTATCAGCATGTCTGCATGATCCTAGTATAATAAATGAATCAATGTAAACCAAGATCACTGGTGACCTGCTACTACATTTTAAGCTTCCCAGAGAGAAGGTGCATTGTCCCTACAATTAGAGTTTGACCACATAATGATTTTACTGTGCCTCTACTGCAGGACACGTTTCATGGTCATTGCATGATTCTGACAGCAGTTCTGTCCCCGTTTGGAGCCTGCCTGTTATGCCTTTCTTGACCCAGCTGACATGCCACTCAGTTGAACTCTGAAAACCTGCATTAACATATGCAACCCAGGATTGCAGCAAAGCTGGTTGCAAGGCAGGAAAGGTTAAAATTGTTAAGTTACATATAGGATGCAGGATTCTTAGTGATATGGTAGGTAAATAGAGGAACAGATTTTGGGAAGAGATTGGAAGGTCTTTCTGGCTATGAGATCTGCTGGCTCCAAACTGTAGTTTAACCAGCCCCATTCCTAAAGGTCAGGCAATGGGAAGGGGAGAGAAGGGAGCTAGATTGGGAGGGGACAGAAAGATAGCCAGTTCAGAAAACACTTCTCAACTTTGGATGTGGCAAGGCAGAGAAGGAGAAAGGGAAAGAAGAAAAGAAGGACACTTGAAGCCAGAGGGTGGGAAGTTCTCCCTTCCAGCCTAAAAGACTACTTGTGTACAAGAAGTGAAGAAGAGAAGGTAAGGTAAGGAATACCAGAGTGGCAACTGGCAGCTGGATCAAGGTGGAGTGAAGAACTAGAAGTGAGGAGTTTACCTGTGAGGAGAAGCTGGGAAGCACTTTGGAGACCTAGCCCAACAGAAGGAAGATGCAGAGATGAGAAAAATGGGTTGAGGACCTGACCCACAAAGGCAAAAGCAAGCAGCCAACTATAGGTGATGCTGACAGAGACAATTAGACTGAGCACATATTGGTGGGTGGGAATGGTGGGAAAGACAGTTAGTTTGGTTACAGAGCTTTTTATTTGACAGCAAAGCATAGTTAAGATTTCCACTGTTCCTGTGTGTACAGTGTTCACATGTCTATACACTGTTTCTAATGTTATAAGTAAATGCTAGTAATAAGGTCAGATATTCTTTTTTTTATTGGATGCCTTCATTATGATTTTCTGGGGAATATGAATCATAGAATCTTAGAATTGGAAGATACCACCAAATCTAACTGCTGCTCTGTAGAGGATTAATAGATGGTCATCCAGCCTCTAACTGAACATGTTTATTGGTCCATTACCAACTTCCTCTCATGTTATAAACTTTATCCTACAATTTGCCTCCTTCTTGTGTCTATTTGTTTGCATTACAAGAAGAATCTGCCTCCTTGAAGCTTAAATCCATTGCTCAGCATCCTGTGCTCTGAGATAAGAGAACAGGCCATGACTTTCTTCTAATGCCCCTTTGGGTGTCATATTCTTCCATCTTTCTTTTCTGAAGGCTATAAATAACCAACTTGCTCAGTTTCTCCTTCTAAGGTTTAGTTTTCAGATGCCTGCTTTGTTATAAAAATTCTAAGAGGTAATACTTTTGTTAGCCAACTGAAATTTAACAAAATAGTTGCAAGCTTTCACATTTCAAAAACTCTTCACCAGGCAGGTGAATTAATGGGAAAAAAGGGAGTATAACAATATCTTATATTGTTATATCGTTGGGTGCAAAGCTTTCAGAGTTAAGCACACAAATCAGATACCAGGTTCAGATAGTATTAAGATGCAATGGAGGGTCCTCCAAAGCTTGCTAGGAGAACAAAAAAATAAGCATGGCTGGTTTTCTAAAATATAAAAGCCAGCCAGCATATAATCTTTTCAGGGTCCTTTAAGGACTGTGACACCTTTGTTAAGGCAAGGGGATTTGGGGAAATGAAGAATAATGGTCTTCTCTGCTGGGCAGCTCTTTCATGTCTGGGTTCTCACAGAAGTCTTCAGAATGCTAACTGAAGGTCAGGAAGAAAGTGCTTTTATTTCAGCATAGATTCCCATCTACGCTGTACTTTCAAACTCCAGGCTACAGTGTATCTTGAACTTGACAGACCAATTCAAGCCTCTGGACAGAAATTGGGCTGGTGGTGCTCATTGGGTGAATCACAATCAATCTTCTCCCCACAGTGTGTTCTTCTGACATCTGGGATGGCCAAGGATTACGGGGCTTGGCCCAAGCCTTCTGGAAACCAGAGAGGAAAGCTGCCCAGTAGCCATAACCTAGATTATTATTTATTTATTATGCTTATATCTTGCCTTTTCTCCGGGGGCTCAGTCAGTATATTTTATTCACACACCACCACCCTGCAAGCAAGACTGGCCTGGCGAAATGAGGGCTTGATCCTACATTTTCCCAGTCTCACTGCAACTGTTGAATCACTACATACTGGTGGGTTTGGTTAGTTGTTGTTTCTAGTAACTTACCTATATAGAGAGGCGAGTTGGTTGCACTTGCATAGTCATCTATGTAGGAGATGCCAAAGGGCTGGATGGGCACTCCCCCAATTCCCAGCAAGGTCTGCCCGAAGAGGAGCAGCATCAAGACCACGTCGCTTTCCCTCTGGCCGTCAGTGCAGACATCTGTAACGGGTGCTTTCCGGTGTGGGAGACAGATATCTGTAGTGTTACCCGAGGATCCTGTGCAGGGAAAACAAAAGGCTGTGTTCCATGCCTGTGGCTTTCAGGGCTGGATGAACTCCTTCTGCCCCGGTTTGGAAATGGGCGCAGCAAACTGAGTGAAAGGACAAATGCCCCATAGCAACCTCCTCTCGAGGGCTGGTGGCTACTGTCTCCAGCCCGCTTCGCGGGTCTCAAGATGTCCCTTGGAGCAAGTTTTTCCAACCCAGGGCCTTAGCCAAGGGGAACTCTGCAGCAGGGGACTATGATGCCCCCCTCTCCTCAGGGGTCAGCTCTGCAGATGCTAAGAGAACACCATTACTGTGGAAGAGTCAATGGATGTGAAAAGTAAAAGAATAAAAATAGGCATTAAAATTATGAAAATTATATTTTAAGAATTGTGAGTTTCATATACCACTACCTTAACAGAAAAAAATAAATAAATGTATAATAAACATTACATATTTCTTAAAATGCATTGGTTATTCTGAATTATTTACTTCTTGTAATTCAGATAGTGCTGGTTCATTCCAATTAAACTGCCACAGGTTTTTGGAGATGTTTTGGGTTTTTTGTGCCTTTGAGTCAGCCTTGACTCTTGGCGACAGCAGGTGCCTGCAGCTTTTCAGCACCATTATTTGGAAGTGGCTTGCCCTGGCTTTCTTCCTGGGCTGAGAGGGAGCGACTGGCCCAAAGTCACCTGTCTGGCTTTGTGACAAAGGTGGGACTGGAGTTCAAGTTGCCCTGCTTCTAGTCTAGCACCTTCACCGCTAGACCAAACAAGCTCTCCTTCCCCAGTTGTTGGACTACTAAAACGCTTGCCGCCATTACTAAATAGGAAGTTAATTTGGTGCTTGTTATTTGCGCTCCTTCCAGTAACTTAAAATAATTATTATAGGTTCTAACAACCTTTCTGATCCTGCCATTTCACCTCATTTTTGTTCTGAGCTGTATTTATTTATTTATCAAATTTATATAGCGTGTCCATCTCATAAATGTGACTGGGCAGTATACAGTAAAACAAACAATTAAAACGGTCTTTAATAACCATTTAAAATGTCTGATAGTACAATCCTATCAGATAATTAGGAGATCAGTAGAATTAATATATTGAGGTCTTAATGTGTGCAAACATCACTCTGAAAAAACAAATTATTTAATTGTTTTATTAGTTGCCCTAAAACAAATCTGCATCACTGAAGCAATGGGCATGAAACTGAGCAAACTCAGGGAGGCAGTGAAGGACAG